CATCTCTTACATCTGGACCCAAGTTTTAACTATTTTTTTCCTTTTTTTTTTTTTTTTTTTTTTTTTTTTTTTTTTTTTGTTTACCCCCAAGCTAACGCTGGGGGAAAGGGCTAGCTGGGAACATGGATGGGGAAAGTATGTGTGCATCTTTCTTTTTGCCCATCTCTTTTTCTCTCAATCTACCCTCAACAAGGGTGCCTATAGAATATAGCATAATGCTGCATTGTTGGGTTAGGGATTTAATTTCACTCCATCACAAGCTACCATCGGAGCCCCTGTCATTGCAATTTGTCACACTTTTTTGTGTGCTATATCTCACTGAAGTCACATCTCCTCCTCAGCCCGTTGCATAATCTCCTAGTCTGGAACAAAGCTCTCCAACATAATGAAAGAGGTGAAATCAGGGAAGGGAAAGTCAATGGTTACTGTTATCACTATAGAACTCGCTCCCACTGGCTCTGCAGGTTCAGTCACACCACGCAAAACAGAGTAAGAAGGACATGCTGTGTGTGTGTGTCTTTTTTTTTTTTTTTAAAGCCTGTTTATTGAACCTACAGGCAGCACCATTGGCTGCTGAGAGATGTAATCCCATTCCCTCCTGCAGACCACCAGCCATAAAGAGGCTGCAGGATGTCCCACTGGCCCACCAGGGAGCTGAGAGCCTCCAAAATAGATATCACAGGGAAAGAAGTGAAGAAATCAGTTTGCTTTAAAGGAGGGGATTGACTCACGTCTCAGGCTAAACACACAATAACGTTGTACTTTGGGAAAAGACCCTAAAAAGCCAGAAAGAAGACAGAATGGCGTGCTTGAAAGGGAAAAATGAACATCTGCCAAAATAAGCAGGATTTTGTTTTCTGTAGGAGGGTGGTCAAGGACTCTGTTACGTGTTGAAGGCTGAAATTTGAAATCTAAGCTGACTGCTTTAAGCTTGTGGGGAATGACACGGTGGTTCCTAAGGCTGGCCGTGTGCTCAGGGGCTGCACACCTTGCTGCACTGCTTCAACAAGGACCTCAGTGTCCTCCCTGCATTGCTCCTGGGGATCTATAATGATGTCCTCATGTTCTCACTCCATTAAAATATTAGAAACTTGAATGAATTTAAGATTCACTTACTGTGACCTCGCCATAAATGGCACATTGATCCTAAAAAGGCAACTTGGGGGAAGGGGCTTCATGAAGTCCTCTGTGCTATTCCTGTTGCTGTCCTGTGGATGGGAAGGGAACAGCCTGAGATTGCTACTGGTTCACAGAACAGTATTCTTTTTGTTCCTCCTCACTGGTGTTGCCACTCTGCCTGCTCAGAACTGGTGTAAAATCTGGTCACTCTGGACTCCCAGATTTGAAATATCTGGGAAAACACTTTGCCAGGCTGGAGTTCACAGGCAAAATCCAATGATTTGCAGTTGCAGCTTTCAAGACCTGGCAACAGAGTTATTTTGAAAATGTGTTTTGAGGGCTCCTTAAGAAATGCAAATAATGTCCTCTATGAGGAATTTAATTTTTTTCAAGAGGGTCAAAAGAAAAGAAATATCTGAAACGTGAAATATTTATGGTCTTGGTTGGTCCTATATTCTAAATTATGTTAAAGGTGTTTTTTTTTTTTTTCAATGGAAAAATTGCATTTTGGCTGAAACTTCGGCCCCAGTTTTTGATCAGTACTGAACACTGTCCTTTCACGTTAAATAAAGAGAAAGTATAAAGTATTCACAAGACATGTATCAATTTGACATCAGTGTAACATTTCTTAAGTGGCTCATTCAGGAGTGAAGCCCATGACTAACAGGCAAATGGCAGCGAGATACAAGGAGAGATGGTTTTACAAAGGAGAGCAATAAGAAAGGAAAATGTTACACTGTTTGCACCGTGTGTTTTATAAGGAAGATCAGGGTAACAATGAGTCACTATGGAAAGGATTTATTGGGCTACGGAGCTAAAAGTCTGTAAAGATTAAAATTCTGATGGGGTTTGGATGGGGAATTGTTTCTGAGGGTAGTTTTATCCCGCACACTGTCCGAGTTATTAATCCCCTTGTGTTCCCTAAGCTGGGGAGCTGGTGTCGATATGCTCCCCGGGCCAATTTCAGGCACGCCGGCCCACAGGCTGGTGTAATATTTCTCCAGGCGAATCTCTGGGTGGTCTTGTCTTGTCTTGTGAAGAGTGAGAAGCAGATAGCAGGAGACTTTCAAGATTGCTGTTGCAGGCATCAGTCTTTGAGTGGAAAATAATCCACCTGGAAGGAGGCTGCCTTGGCGAGGAGGGGCGGCCATCCCTCCGATCGGGAGATAAGTTACGCGCTGAAATGTTTGCGGGGAAGGTGCAATTTGTCAGGGAGAGGCAAGGCTGGCAATGCAGGCTCGCTGGTGCCTGTTAGCATCTGCCACTCGCATCCACTCGCAGCTTCCCTGGAGCTGCTGAGCCCTGGCAAGCTGCACACTTCAGTGCCTGGAAAGCAGGTGACCGGCGTCAGCCCGCAGCTCGCCCCTGTGACAAACCCCAGGGATGTGATGACGAGCTGCAGAAGGTTTCTAGTGTCCGGCTTTCCTCGGGGATGGCCGCAGCATGTCTTGCAGCATAAAAACCGAAGGGAGTGAAACTAGGACAATCCCAAGTGAAAATAAAGTAGGCAGGGGAAGCATGTTGTGATAGTCCCATCTCCAGTGCTGATATCAACCACTCTTTCCTCGTGTTGTGGGTGCTGAGATGCACTTGGAGCAGATATTTTAGTTTGGGCAATGTGCTCCTAAAAACAGCAGGGAGGAGTGCTGCCTCAGTGCTTTTCATGGCGCTGTGAAGAAGCCAGGGGAGCCCCTTCGTGCTAATCCCATGGTGTCTCTGAACTCCCAAGGAGACTGATCTTAGGTCTGGCCCCTAAAGACAGATGCTTCAAGTCAGATTCACCATGGCTGGAAGTTTTTCCAAGGATGTTCCCCCCTGGTGCTTTGTAAACCAGGAGAGAGTATCGTGTTTCAAGGAGAAGAGCATGATATTATCACTAGGCATTAGTTTTAACGAAGAGGAATTTGGTGAATTTGTCACTCCCCTACATAGCTCTTCTGTTTTTGCTTTTGTTATAGCAGTTTACATAGAGTAAGGAGATAGGATGGAACTGAAATCCCTTTTTTATTTTTGTTGTTGAAAGCCGTTTTTACAAGGGAAGGGCTCATGATGTTCATAGCTCAAGCTTGACTTGGATAAAGCAGCCCACTGTCTGAAGTTATCCAAATTACCTCTGCTTCTGTTAGGACAATGAGTCAGAAGATTTATAACATGTCTATTTCTCATCCCAGCTGGAACTACCACTGGAAGATTTTTGTGTGTGGGTCTGACATAGTCAGCTCTGATCCCATCTGGAGTGAGTGAGTAAAATGCACCTGAGTGAGAAACAATTTTACTGAACTTTTCAGAACACTGAACCACAACACCAGAGACTGAAACCTAAGGGTTCTCAAGAACAATCTTGTATTTCCTCCAATAAAAGCAGTCCTGGACTTTCAGGATACAGGCACAGAGGAGACATATTGACTACCCTAGAATTCAAAGGACAGAGAAAACTTTAAGAAGTTTTGCATAAGAATGAGCATGTGCCTGAATACCTTTATTTTCTATCCTTAGGCAAGTACAGCTTGAACAAAAATGCATGGATCTTCCACAGAAGGGTTGGTTTTCTTAATTCTTGTTATGCATGTGCATTAACCTCAATTTACAGATCTAAATTAGGCAGTCTGACAAATGTGGTGCCATTAGCTACAGCCCTTCAAAGACTACTTGTAAATTGGAATATCTTATATTATTCTACCAAGACCATCTCCAATAATCCCATACTCTGTGAAAATCCCTCCCTGGCAAAGATTCTCCAGGAACCTCTTAGAGCCAAACACCAAATATCTTTTTATACTGCCTGGGTAGTATTCATTAACAAGAAGTAATGGAAAAAATCTTGCCCTTTATTACAAAATGATTCTAACAATTTAAAAAATCATGTCAAAGAGGAGGTTTAAAGACTGATTTATCAGGATCTTGTAATGGATGTTGCATAACTTTAAAAAACAAGTTGCTGTCTCTGTGCATCATTCTGCCTTCTTCTGGATGGGCAAATGAAAATGGTTTGAGCTGAGCTTTGGATTATGGGATTCACTTCAGAAAACCAGAAAAAAATTGGATGGCAGAAGACTTCACTGCTGATGAGCAGATCTTCACAATGCCATAATTTGTTCCAGTTTCTAGATGTTTCATGCAGCAACGATGATGAGGATTTGTTTGATGTTTTGCTCAGGAGTTTGGTCAGGTCCTAATGGCACTAAATTCCTATCAGGATTTTAGGACATGTACTCCATCTCTGCAAAAAACAGCTGATATGACCTAGGCAAATCACTTCTGATCAGGTTTTCAGTAGTTCTTCAGCAAGTTCTTATAAGTGCTTAAGCAGGTTAAGTGCCCAAATCCTATTAATTTAGTTTTGAAAAGCTGGCCTTTAGTCTCTCTAGCACATATTTTCATAGGTATTTATGATCCCAGCTACCTCTAAGGACTTGCCCCTCTGAGCCTTCAGGAAAAGATGGATAATAGCACAACCCTACCTACCAGGGATGTTGGCAGGGCATGTACATTAAAGATGACACAGAAATAATTTAGGTTGGTTGATCTCACAGCTGTATTTACATGGCCTAATTCTCTTCCCATGAACTCTTTTGAAATAAATGGAAATACAGTGGTCATAAAACTGGTGTCACCAGAGAATGAATCTTATGATGTGATATGATGATCAGAGGAGAAATGGGTGCAGAACCTGAGGGACCACTTATTCAGAGAGGGCTTTTTTCTGTTGGACAAGTGTTGAGACACATGAGGATGGAACCCCTTCTTCTCTTTTGCCATGACTGTGGAGAAAAATGAAGGCTGGATTTTGCAGAAACACTTCCGAAGCCACTATGTAAACCAGTTTAAATATCATAATGAATCTGATATTCCTCTTACCTACCCCTCTATTCTTGATGCAAAATGAGCACAAGCGCTTTGGTTGTGAAAGGTGGGAATTTGCACTCCAGGAAATGGCTGAACATTAATGACATTCAGCCCGTATGGAAGCATATATTTTATAGGAAACCACATTGGTTATGCTTGAGAAATCTTTCTAGGACAGCCATTGCCCTGAGACTTATGCATCTGCATAAAGTCTGCTACATTAGAAACTGAACAGAATGGCCTGTCTCTCCCACGGTCTTAAGTTAACACTTTTCCTTTTGTCTGGGGCACCCTTTTCTAAACTTGAAATCCAATTGGCCAACAATTAAAGCCAATTAGCACGTGAGGAAAATAAACCGCAGAGCCCACTTCTATGTGTTTCCCGGGCTGTTAGAAAGCCCAGTTAGCTCAAGGCATTAGCATAGTTCAGGATCGGGCGAGGCACACAGCACAGAGTAGTTGGCTTAAAGTATTAGACGCCTGCGATAGCGCCCTGGCTGAGCGGCACTGTTATTCTGGGCTCACAGCTGCCAAACATTCTTGACAGGAGATGAGGCAGATGTCCAAGGACAATCAAAGAGAGAAGAAAGTTTAAGCCAACGTTTGCCTATCTCATATTCTCTACTTGATCCTCTCCTCAAAGACAAGGCACAGCTGTTGCACTTCAAGGTCTATCTGGCTGAACCCAGCAACTCCTCCCTTTCTCCCTCCTGGCCTGCCTGAGCTTTCTGTGTGCTGGACTTTGGCAACCTACCAGACCTCATTAACTCCTAACAGGACAATTCATGACATTAAATGGGTTTTATTTAATCTTTTTTGTATGTCTGTGAGTATCCGAGAACAATTCTGCCGCATACTAATTGCATGAAAGCGCCGCGGATTATAGTTATGTGCACATTGCCCACCAGCCTACACGGGATCACCCTGGGCCACAAGAACAAGCACTGCAACATTAACAAGGTGATTTGTTATAGCTGCGATGGCAAAGGTGATACAAAAACAGCAGACAAAGGTGTTTCGCAGACAAAGGCATCAAGAAGCTCGGTCGTTTTGCTCTCACTGATGAATAAAAATACAAGAACTGTTGTGATAATGAACACAGTGAATGATGGCAGGTGTATTAGTAAAAACAGAAGTGTCATATCTATTGCTCCCAGCCCATCACAACAATTTATCCCACTCAGACCCTGCTCTCTGCAGCCCTCATTTCTGCCTGATATTTTGATTTGGGCAGGGAGTGAGTTGTTGGCCAGGTTTTGTGATGATCAGGTCGATTCCTACATTTGTTTCTTTTTTTTCCCCTCTGTCCCACAGCAGTTACTACCTCACATGATGTGGGACACACATCTGCCATGTGTCCCTATCAGATGGGGACACCTCCAGTTCAGTTCCATAGCATCCATGTGACAAAGGAAGTGTGAATAGCACTAAAATCTCCCCTTAGGGGAATATATGGCATTTTAGGACCCCCAAACTGGATCTCATTGGCCTACAGGAATAGACATGGAAAATTAAAGCTCTGCCACTAGTTTACTCTGTAGCCTTCAGCAAATCATTTATTTCACGGTTTATTCTGAGCCAATACATGGGAATAATAACATCTAGATCCATTTCAAAAACACTGTGAGACTGTTAGAGGAAAGGAATTGGGTAACTTCAAAGTACTACTATTATTAAGTGAATACAGATCTGTGGAAAAGATGTAGCTGGCCAGTTTAATTCAAGTAGCCAGCTGAAGTTTCTGTTCCAAAAATATGGAGAGTTTGGTTTGGATTTTCCAAATGTTAGATTAAGTAATGCAAGTTTCTAAAAAAAAAAACTTCATGTTTTCAGTTTTAAACAATTTTTTACGTGTGGATTTTTTTTTGGTACAGGCAGAGTTGCAGGCATGAGAAAATAGAGGCAAAGATTTTGCTCTCCAAAACAAAATTGGAGTAAGTTTGAAGGAGAAATCCTACAATACATTTGTATGTCCATAGTGGAGTGGTTCTTCCTCAAATTTAGAAAAGTATCACAAGTCTGAGCATCCAGCAGTTGTAGAAAATGTTTTTTTTCACCTATTATTCTTTCTACCCAGTACTATTGCTGCCTTCTGCTCTTCACCCACTGGTTTGCTCATTTGCCCTGCTGCCCTTGCTCTCAGCATGGTGAGCTCCGAAATCAGGAGCCACAGCAGACACTGAGGCCACCACATGCTTGAAGCTTAGCAGTGCTGTCTGAGAGGAGAAATGTGTCCTTTCCATGAGAGACAGGCACATGGCTGAGAGGATTGGAAATGACTCTGCTCCTCCAGCAACCTCCCACGGACTGAGCCACAGCAAGCCCTGTGTGTTCTTGAAGCACCACATCTCAGGAGTTGACACATTTGCTTAGACCATGACCGTGGTTCCCATGCTCCATCTGGCAGGCAGGAACTGGTTAAATTGTGGCAAAGGGATCACTTTCAGTTCTGTGACTATATCCATAACATAATCTGGGATTTCAAAGGAGCCTTGGGCAATCAGCATCTCCCACTGCTTTACTGTGGGCTTTGCATGTCTCCATCCCTTGGGGTCTCAGTTATAATTCCTAGAATAAAATAATGTCAAAAATTATTTTGAATGTCTCCTAAATGTAATAAAAATCTATCCCTGGAGAGTCATCAGTGACTGGTCTCTGTGTGCAAAATTTAATTTTCAGTGCAGGGAGGAGAGGAATGAAAACAACCCCTTAAACAATGACATTGGGATCTGAATGTGCTGTGCCTCCCAAACCATCCAAAATCAAACACAAAAGGATGCAAAGCATTCCCAAATGCCTTCCCTTCACTTCTCTTCTCACAGCAACTCCAGTGGACTAAAGCCTTTGACTGAGAACAAACTTATGGTCACAGCAGTGATTTGGCTTTCTCACTCCAGCAGCCCTTCTCCATCTCCCTCCAGTGTCTGCTTGCAGCAACTTGGATTTATTTTTTGGCTATTTCAAGTCCATCAGGAGCTTAAGGGATGAGTGTGAGGAGGGCTGTGTGAAGAAGGACCTTGTTTGGCAGGGTTTTAGGGGCCAGGCTGGTGGTTTGCTCTGTGCTGCTTTGCTGCTGAGCATGTCAGACATCGGTGCCACCTTCCTCAGAGGCAGCTGGCGTTGTTGCATGATCAGGATTCCAGGAAAAAAAAAAATGAAAAAAGCATCAGGAAACCTCATGAAATAAGAGCAGCAAAAGCAGCACTGCAATAAAACTGATGCATGTGCTACCAGAAGGCTGGAAGAATTAGGGTGCAACATTTTTGCCCGACTTTCAGCTGGCTGAGGGAGGGCCACTTCACAGCTACTGCCACTCTTTGCTCAAGGCTAAGAGGAATTTGGCAGCTGAAGCCCCATCTTCTCACATTCATTAAAAACCTCATTTATTCTGTGTGATTTAGTGCTATGAGACACATTAGGAAGCAGAATCTAACTAGTACTTGAAAAGTTGCTTAGGTCTATGCTGCTAAAGATATTTAGGCACCTAAGCTGCTTCAGAAAGATTTTTCAAAAATGCCAGGATGATTCATTTCTATTAATTTCAATAAGAGGCAGTTAAATGGTGCATTTATTTGTCACTGCCTAACTGCTTAAAAATTGGATGGTGCTGACTCTGAAGATTTAGGAGCCCTGGCTCTTCACCAGAGCCAAAATCCCATGAAGCAGCCATCATTTTCCCTGTCCAAAACTCCCTGTATTTTGGGGGCCATTTGCTGTCTGTCCAGGTCTACAATCTTTTACTGCTGTTTCCACTTTAAAGGTGGCTTTATTTTAGTGCCTGGGGAAGGATTTGCTGTATACACATGGCCAGACCATGCTTAAGGCTTTTTAAATATTAAAGAAATGGAGAAGCTGAAGCTGCCCTGCGGCTTCATGTCCTCCATCCCTCAGCCCAGGTGTGAGTCCCCATGAGTCCCCACAGTAAGGGTGGCCTGATGAAGTGCTGATTTTGATGACATATGTTTGAAGAAGTAAAAATTAAATACTGGCAATTTTTACACTCAGATGGAGTGCTTGAGTTTGCCTGACATATTTTCTTGTGTTTTTTTTGGGCTGTGCTTTCCAGGCATGAGCAAGTGCCTAGAATGCAGAGATGGCTCTGGAAAGGGCAGAGCTCCCCATACACTGTGGTGAACTGGAAGAGATCAGGAGGAATCTCAGCTGCTGACTTGGCTGGGAAACACTCGTTGAGGTTTGCAATTCTGTCCCCAGATAGTGTCCCAGGGCTGGGAGCCAGCAGCCTGGGGTGGGGAGCTGCTAAGTTGTGTCGCTCTTGTCCTGTGAGGGCACAACATGAAATTGATGCTTTCTGCACCCGAGAGGAGGAAAACACAGTGGCAGTCACTGTGGGAGGGCACACATCCCAGTCCACCGGCAGAGAGGCTGTCTCAGGTGTCTCTCCTCTCTGCAGAGACAGCAGGGAAGGCAGCCAGGGCAGCTCAGATCTACATTTGGCTGCACAGAGTCGGTCAAGCAGAGCAAAACACAAGGAAAATCATTCTCCAGGTCCCCAGCTGGGTTTGCCCTGACACTACCCCACCTTGTTTGAGGAAGGCAAGAGTCTGGTTACTACGAGCACTTTTTGTTCATTAAACCTGAGCTGCAAGAACTAATTTGCCTTTTGGGCAAGGTTGCTGAATACAAAGCTGTGCCTTGTCCCGCTCGCACGCCGTGTCTGTGCGGGCGCTCGCCCAGCGCATCAGGCACTGCAGCACTTCCAGCACCTCAGAGGTGGCAAAGGCCTTGCCTTGACTGCTGTGCAGAGCAAGATCCTGGTTTTCCTGGCCCTCTGTGAGAGCTTTTGTTTGGCACACAGCTGCACTTCACGTTTGCTCCCTCACCTGAATTTTGCCGGTGCCAAGACAGGTACCAGTGAAGCACAGAGTGTTTTTATCATGACAATCCTGCTGCTCCTTTCGATGTGGAAGCCTTGGGATGACCCTTCCCAAGAAAGCAAAGCTTCCACTCTGCTGTCTCCACAAGGGCTGGCACCGACCAAGGGGGTCACACCCTGGCAGTCAGAGCCACTTTTGCTGGGGAGGCAACTTCAGGCAGACCCAGCCTTTCAAACCCAGATGGCAACAGCTTTGAGACCGAAATCTCTTGCTGCCCCACAGAGAAAGAGCAAAGGGAAGTTTACAAAAGGCCCATATGTGTCTGAGTCATTTTAAGCAGCTCAGGTACCGGCACACCTCTTCCTTATCCAGAAACCTCCTCAGGGAAAGAAGGAGAGACATATGTTTGGCCTCTGCAGCAAGCTCTTATCTTGGCAGGAGAAAGCTATTGATGTTCATGTTTCACATTTCTGGCGCCCAAAACAGGTTCTGATGTTTAAAATGAGGCAGCGGTGGAACCTGTTTTAAATATGTAACAGTCTCAGAAAGGAGCAGTCTAATCACTTCATTATCCAACACAGCAGAAAATGGTTTCAAACCCAAACTTGGGAGAGGGGGGCTTAGAGAAACCTTCCCCAACAAGACATTGCCAGCATTAACCCTGGTATTTATTGCTCATTTTAACTATGGTGCACAGCAAGCATTTTCTCAGCCTCACATTGCAAGAATATATAATTCATATGCTTAATATTTAGTCTCAGCTCTCCTTGCATATGTTACAGAGCTGGAGACTGTTTGTGTGTTTGCTATATATCAGTTGACACCTCTGTAAAATCTTTATATTGAATGCCTTTGGCAACTATATGCCAAATAATAGCATTACCATTTGTAATTTTCTTAGCTGCAGCTTTCCTGTAAGCTTTGCTCTATGCATGACAAGTAGGAAGGATTTAAAGAGCTTTATTGGTTCTCAAGTCTTCCTAATGACCTTTCCATGCTTTTGTAAGTCAAAATAACTTTTTTTCCCCTTGTCTCCTTGTGCATTTTCAAGTAAAATGGCAAGAGCTCTAAAGTAAATAAGTAAGAAAAGCAGGTAACCAGTGTCTCTGCCCCAGCTTTAACTCTCTGCCCCTCTTCTCTTACTTCACAATCAGAATACCCTGGTGTCACTCACAGATTCTGTTGACTCTTGTCTTGCAGATGCTTTTCTTCTCTTACTCCCGTCTTCAGATCTGCTCATTATATTAACTGGAAAAAGAAATAGAAAAGACCCCGTGAAAGATCGGGGCCCAGCGGTGCTAAGCACTGTACAAATAACACAAAGGCTGTCCTTGCCTCGGGACTCGCCGTGCAGGATTTAGACAATATGCCACCGGGGAATAAATCAATAAATGGAAAGGAGAGGAGATATGTTTATACCTGTTAATGATTATGTGGAGTTTCAAGAACTGTATTATTTTCTTCTTTTATAAATTCTTCTTGTTTTCACTGAAAATGTCTCAGTCTTTCCCTGAATTGTCGGCTTTTGTTGTGTCTTCTCCATTATGGGCTGTGAACTTCTCAGACCTGGGACTGTGTGCTGTGCTTGTTTAGTTAGCACCAGGTACATTTACAGGGTTGTGTATTTGCTTAATAAAAATAAATAACCAGCAGAAGTTCCAAGCTCAGAATTACTCCAGACACAGCATTTTCCTTATTGCTTTGTCTTGTGGAAAACAAAGTACATTTTATCCTACGTTTATCATGTAGCTTATGTGGTACTTTTCATTTTGATGTATGGCACACTTTCTAATGTGTCTCCCCTCATGTCTCTTTATTACTAAAGTGTTTCAGTGGAAAAGTATATTACAAACAAATAAATAACTTTCAACTACTGTCACTAGTCTAGCGAGAGAGCCACAGGCACAGGCTAGTTGGGTCCATTCATTACAAAGCCTTATTCACGACTTTATGAATATCTTTTTCCTTTTATTTTAATGAACACCTCTCACTGCTTTGTCCTAGCAAATATTCCTTTCCAGCTCTTATTTTCATCTAGTCTTCCAAATATTCAACCCAGTTCAAGACACCTCAGAAACAAAAGCAAAACCCAGGCTAGTTTCCCCACAAATATAATGTTGGGTCTTGTTGAGGGTAGGGGAAAGGAGAAGGAGCAGAGAGGCAATGAATGGGAACTGGGCTGCTGGCTTGAATGTCGTGCTGTTTTTTCAAGGAGGGATGGGAACAGTGACTGCTGCTGTTGCAATGAGCCCCTTTTTATCCCTTTTTATTAACATTTTCCACTCTGGACAGCAACTGCTGCCTATGCCACATCATCAGTGAACCTTGTTTCATAGGGATCTGAGGGCACCCATCAGACATGGTGCAGGGTGGCACCTTAGCCTAACTCAGCTGTACTGAGCTTACAGAAACCCAGATTCAGCCTCGGTTTTGAAACAAACTGAGAATCAAGAGTTTGGAAATCAAGGAATTGTGGACCATGTTTTGTTGGGGTGTGCAGATGGGCTGACAATCTTCATTGGTGCTGTTTGCAGTCTCGTTGGAGCATGACAATGAGCTGGCCATTGGTAGCCAGGGCCTAAACCTAATGAAAATGAGTTTAAATGCACGAAACACTCTTTGTCCAGTTAGGAATGAAAGACAAAACCACGGCTCAAACGTAGCACCTGCAAACCTTCATTAGTAGCACAAACCTGTTCTTGGTAACACAATAAAGGGGCAGGGGCAGGAGGGTGCAGGTTGCACACACAAGCAAGCTCTGTGCTCAGCAGGGACAGGATCCCACCCCACCCCTGCTCTCCACCATCACCTTCCTGCTCTGAAGCCACGAATGTGCCTGAGGTTGTTTTACATGGGCTGGGTTGTACACGCAAAACTCCACGACAAGCCTATTAAAAGTGTGTTAAATTTCAATGCTCCTGTTTAGGCTCCTTCATCAAGATGTGGGCACTAATTTATGGCAGCTGCTGGATCACAAACCTATGGATGAACTGAAGAAGAGAAGGAGCTAGGTAAAGTAAAACAGAGAATATGGCATGGTAATTCGTTTGGACAGGTCTGAAGGCTAGGAGTATCTGTTTGTTTGGTTTTGAGCACTTTCTATGGAAATATAGTTATAAAATTATTCTTTTAGCTCCATTCTTTCGGCTCCCTGCCCCAGCCCAATTGTGTGAAAAAACAGCTTTACCATAAACAGATTTTACTATATCAGAGTCAAATTTTACTACATCATTATAGGAGTGTTCCACTGGGTAATATGACTGGCCGCCCTATCAGAGGACCAGTGCTAATGCCATAGTGAAAACATGCCATCACACTTCCCCAATAAAAACTTTTATTGTATCCCAGCGCACATTAAAAACAACACTAACTGCATTAATACATTGTAATTTACTTTTGTATTATGGAGCAAATGACAAACCTGGTGCTAATGAGGTCATATTTTCCATTACCCCAATGCAAACTCTTGGTTAATCCAGTCCTTGGAGATTTCCACGTGGAACTTGGGAACACTTGTGTGTGCACATGTATGCACAGACACACACGGTGTGCACGTGCTGGTAAGGGATGCTTCCATTGTCAAATGGGGTGGCAGAATATGGTTTTATTTTAAACTACTGCTTTTGAAACAAACACTTAATTTTAATTGCTCTGACATTTGCATTTTGTTCACAAGGCAGTCTTTAACAAAAAGAAAAATACAACAATCCCATCACCAATGGTGCCTTTTACTTGTGAAGCCTCTTTCACACTGTGGTGAACAGAAATGCAATTCTTCTGTGCTGCAGAAGATGAGGCTGAACGGATTCTTTAGGGATTGCTTATATTTCAAGTGCAATTATTTAGGAAGCTGTAAGCTTTCCATTTTATTTTGTCATGAGCGGAATGTTAGAAGAAAACTCATTTCTCAGGAGATATGGATGATTCTTTATTTCTAAACTTCCTGTGGTGTTTTCTTAATGATGCTATTAAATGATTAAGCTTTTCTTTTATAAATTAAATCACCAAAATGAAATCATTAAGGCTCTCTCAGTTTTATTAAGCATAGTTATTTGCCATCATGTGTAAATTCACTTAAGTAATCATCTACACTATCTGCTTTAAAATTGTGTTGGCAGCACCACGGGGAAAGTCAGTTCAGAGTGGTGGATGGAGATATCTGTCTCTCCTCGTTTCAGAGGGCTCAAAATACACTGATGAGAGAGAAGAATGTGTTTATATGAGGAAGGAAAGCAATGCCAAGGGTTTAGTGAATGACAGATCCCAATTCCTGGCACTGCAGCCAGTCTCTGGTAGGCACTTTACCTCTGGGGCTTATGCTATGCAAATAGTAACGTGGGGCTGCACACAGGTGTGGCCTCCTCCCTTCCAGGGGACACAGAATCAGGGGTTCCATCGAGTCACATTAGTTAGCAAATTACTTTGTCTTCATTTCCCCTCCAGTATCTTCTCTTCCCTTCTCTCTGTTTCTCTTCTCTGCTCTCTGCTATTTGTTCTTGCCACGTCTTACTCTCTGCTGATGAATTAGTCTGTTGCTCAGGGAGAAAATTGATCTTCACTCTTACAGGAGTTGCAAGACAAGTTATGTTTAGTTCAGGCTGTGGTATTTTGCTAGCCCATGCTAGGATGAGAAATAGTTGGTACTGAGTATATAGACTTGAACTGCAGCTGCAGAAACTGAAACAGAGACTCTCACTGGTATTTACTTTTAAATCCTTCCCTTTAGCTCTTAAAATCACTGTTAATTTTCAGTGATGTTTTACCAGGGAAGTCTTCTTTCTGGGAAGATTAAAAGAAGAAAGGATGGGAGATAGTTTTAGAGGAGAGGGGAAAACTGTATTTTAGTTACCTTTCACTGCAACCTGTGGATGTTGTCAGGACAGAAGTGATGAAGCAAACTCATGTGGTAGCACATACACAGTATCCCAAGGACTATTCCAGTGGACAGGTGGGAATTACCCAGAGTGAAGCAGCTGCAGGAAGTGTAGTTTGCTCTGCTGCAATGGGACAACTCGATAGTCTTCTCCTAGAGCTGCCAAAGGCCAGGCTCCTGCCCAGGCTTTGCTTTGGGCTGTCCCTCCTCTGCTCACTGGACAGGGTGGAGATAGCAGGGGGGTTCAGCACTCGAGTTTGGCACATGCTCAGAGGTCACAGTCACAGGGACAGTGTCCCTCTAGAGCAATCACATCTCTTTCAGCCGTGGCAAAGGTTGTGGATTTCATTTTTTTTTTTTTTAAACCTACTGAAATAGTGAAATATAAAAATAAGGAGTAATGACTTCTCCCTCTCATGTTACTTTCAAACTTCATTACCAAGTATGCCCACAATCCATTCTGCATGTGGTTGCTTTATCAGCTTCCTGATAAATAAATAAGTGCATATTTTCTATTTACTTAAAATATTTTCAGAAAACTAAATGTAAGTGATTCCATGGAAGCATTCCTGAGGTGATTATATCCATTTACCTTCATTTTCAATTGTAGAGGCTGAAAAACAGAAAGGAATTTCAGAATTTAAAAAAAAATCCCTCAGAACAAAAAGTAGGTGTTTAAAACGTATTGAGTGCAACTTTTTGTGTCCGCAGATTAATTTTTTTGTGGTTCTTTCTTCTACTGATCATTAGTTTGACAAACCTGAGAGACATTTGCAGAATAATTTTATATGGAGAAACTTGATTATTTTTTGCTATTACTGTTGACTCATTTTGTTATTCCTGATGAGGAATTTTTGGGTCTAATATGCCTCATGAACTTAAGATTCTTTACCTGAGTTTTGCCTCTTTTCCTTCAGAAAGTTGCTTATTTATTCAGATTTCTCAGGAAGCCAAACATTCAGAAGTAAATAAATAGTTCTCAGTTGATGGTAATGTTAATAAATAAAATCTACTTTATATTATAAATCTATTTATGTATACATATATATTTATATGCTTAAACTAAATACTTATATGTTGTTAACACATATCTGTTAGAACTTTAAAATCCTCTGAAATATATGAAGTGCTTTTAAATTTGATGTGGAAACATATTAAAACAAATGAAAGTCAGTAGTAAATCTGGGACAACATTATTGCAAACCTGATGCAGATATCTCTGTTTTTTGCAGAGAAGCTTTTCTGTCAGAGTAGTTTTGGCTGAATTTTCAATGAAAGAATTTAAACTACAGGAACAGTAAATTTTTTGACTTGACAGAAAACATTGTTATATAGACAAATAACTGGCATGCCAGTAAATAAATGGAGCACATTTTCCAAACATCAATAGATGCCTGGGCAAAAGCTATT